AATAATCACTTTTCACCCAATAGATCTAACTCTGTTTTTAAAAAAATATTATTTTTGCCTCCAAATTTTCAGTTTTTTACAGCACCCTTGACTCGACGGGATCCATTACTTACTAAAGACAAAACCTGGGATAGGATAGAATAGATCCACTTGGACTGAACAAGGATTCTGTGTCAAAATCAGAGATTTCCAAGCTGGCTGCAATGCATATTGTAGGTAAAACAATGCTCCTATTTCATACCATAGTAGGGTGCAAAGAGAAACAGGTTTTTGTAGACCAACGGGCAACTTTCTGTGTTTCTGTAGGAACCTATCCTTCCAGCCCCAAGTCCAATCTTTAACAAACTCGTGCAGACTCCAACTCCGCAACATCGCCAAAATCCGCACGTTCCTAACCCCAGAAACCACTAAACAGCTCATCCACTCCCTCATCATATCACGACTCAACTACTGCAACTCCCTCCTCACTGGCCTGCCTCGCCGCTGGCTATCCCCGCTTCAGTCCATCCTGAATACGGCTGCCAGACTCATTCACCTTTCCAACCGCTCCATCTCCGCCACCCCCCTCTGCCAATCCCTCCACTGGCTACCGATTGCGCAACGGATCAAATTCAAAATCCTAACGCTAACGTACAAAGCCGTCCATCATACTGCCCCGAACTACATCACTGACCTAATATCCAAGTACCGCCCAACACGCACACTCCGCTCCTCACAAGACCTCCTTCTCTCTAGTTCCCTGGTCTCCTCCTCCCATGCCCGCCTCCAGGACTTCTCCAGGGTGTCACCCATCCTCTGGAACTCCCTGCCCCAACCCATCAGATTATCACCTACTCTCCTCTCCTTTAGGCGCACCCTGAAAACCCATCTCTTCAGGGAAGCCTACCCCACCCCCTGCTAACTTGACCGACCTCCTACACTCTTCCTACCACTCCATCCCCCACAGCTATCTCCTCCTGTGCCACCATCCCCTCCCTCCTAGATTGTAAGCTCCAAAGAGCAGGGCCCTCGATCCCCTCATGTTTTGCATTGTATTGGTATTGTTCTGTCACATGTTCTGTCCCCCTTTGTAATGTACAGCGCTGAGCGAACTATTGGCGCTTTATAAATACTGTATAATAATAAAATAATAATGTAGAAACCACCAATGATGTTTTTCCAACGAAGCTCCTGTATAAGACATTATAGCTTAGAGGGCTGTAAAACATTACAAGTTAAGGTGTTATTTTTGTCTTGGCTTTTATAAATTCCATACTCTCAATGAAAAAAGCGTGTCTTGCTGGTCAAAATCAATGATCTTGCAGGGTGACCACCAAAATATGTAGGACCCATGGAGATACCCTTTAATTGCCGTAAGTAACTTTGTTAGACTAGATAACCTTGTCTTTACTGCAGCAATTCCTAGCATCTTGTAGACTGGTTGTAGTTTTATAGTTATTTAGCACATAAACTACTTGTAGGGCCCTAGTGCAGCCCAGGACTTTAGGGCACTTCATTATTTACCTATGCACGCTACGCAGACCCACCCATGGAGGGCATCTGGCACGGGCCGCAGACTCTTGTTCCCTTCCATTACAAAGAAGACCCCATGTATTTATCCAGTGTTGTGTCATTCTTTTATGATCCCCCTTAGGATTGACTGGTGTTTTCTTCTCTTTGGGACCTTTTCACCCTTGGGCCTATGGAACCCTATTTTATAAGATGCGCTAGTCAAAAATTTCTCAGCCGATGTGAAGGGATTACCCCAGTTCTACAAAACCAGAAATTACATAAATGAATAAAGGATCACGGTTTAATGACGGGATCATCTTGGGGCCATTTCATGTCCCCTGTAGTCACCCCATAATATGCACTCCTGTTGGTATACGGCATCTCATATATCCTTTTCATATGAAGCAGATCCACCACCACCTATTTCAAAAGATGTAATAATAATTGCTGAATATGTGTTTATTTCTGCAGTGGTTGGGAGAGCGTAGTCCATATTGACAGGGTATACTTTACCACCACCCCCACTCCTTTTTTATGCATTTACAATAAAAACATGAGTTTAATTAAGACTTTCATTCTCTAGAGATTATATTGTTTTTGACACCTAAAAAGTCACCTAAATGTGCAATTGGTTATGACAAATTAGTCTAAGTGGGATGTGATGTTAGAGAATTTGGCCCATTACTACTAATATCAGTCACCTGCGGACACTACACTATGCCAGTGGAGATAAAGGTCTGCCACACCTGATAAAAACACAACAGTTAGGATTTCACTGATGAGATAATTAGGAAAGAGATATCGTTGAGTCATTGTCAGTGCTGGGACCTTAGGATGGGTATCGGTTGGGTTCTCTGATGTCCTCATTGTGAAATAACTCATTTTTGAGAAAATAGACAGCTGCATAGGATGAGTTGAAGCACAGGCCAGTGATGAGTAGATGTCTCCCTAGAACAGTGTTTCTCAACTCCAGTCCTCATGGACCCCCAACAGGTCATGTTTTCAGGATTTCCATTATTTTGCACAGGTGATTTGATCTGTTTCACTGCCTTAGTAATTACCACAGCTGTTTCATCTGAGGGAAATCCTGAAAACATGATGACCTGGAGTTGAGAAACACTGCCCTAGAATGATGAGAACATTTGCCTGTCCTTCAAACTTCCAGGTCTTGCTTTGGTCATCTGGTAAATACAACCAACTTTGGTAGCACATGTACTTTCCTCTTCTCCATAGAAAAGGGAGGCTTTGAAGGCTTTGTGTGAGAGAGTAAGTAGAAATAACAGAAAAATTTGCTATTGCAACATTCATTGCTCTACATCGGGGGTCTCCAAACTTTCCAAACAAAAGGCCAGTTTACTGTCCATCAGACTTTACAGGGGCAGGACTGTGGTCAGTGGAAGTAGAAAATGATCCAGCATCAGTAAGGGCAGGGGCGGACTGACCATTTGAGCACTCGGGCACTGCCCGAGGGCACCGGGGTCAGTAGGGGGCCCCATGAGATGCCCCTGGTACCTTTCATTGTCCTTTTCATAGGCTTTTTTGGGTGTGGGCGAGGATACAGGGGCCCCATGATCCCCTATTGCCTGGGGGCCTCACGAGTTGTCAGTCCGCCCCTGAGTAAGGGTAAACAATGCCCGTCCATGGTGGTCAGTGAGAGTACAGAAATTACATAGCGCCTGTGGTCAGTAGAAGAAGAAATAGTGCCCTATCTTTTCTATTAGTGGGAGGAATAATGCCTCATTGCTGGCTTCAGAGGAAGAAATAGAGCCAGTAGTATCAATGGTTGGAATAGTGCCCTACTTTGCTGGTGGAAGGAATTTTTTTTCAACTGTTGGTGTCATTGGGGGGGGGAAGGATGGTAAGAATAGTGTCTCATAATTGGTATCAGTGGAAGGACTAGTGCCCTATCACTGGGGTCAATAGAAGGAATAATGCCCCATCAATGCTGTCAATGGGAGGAATAATGTTCAACCGCTTAGGAAGGAATTATGCCCCATTGTTGATGTCAATGGAAGGAATATTAGATCATATCAGTTTGGAAGAATAGTGCCCCAAAGCCGGATAAGAAAAGAAAAGAGATACATTTGACCCAAGGGCCTCAGTTTGGAGACTACTGCTCCACATGGTCCATTCGAGCACTCAGGCACTGCCCGAGGGCCCGGGGTCAGTAGGGGGCCCCATGAGATGCCTTTGATACCTTTCACAGACTTTTTTGGGTGTGGTTTGAGTGTTGGCTAGGACACAGGGGCCCCATGATTTCCTATTGCCCGGGTGCCCCATGAGTTGTCAGTCCGCCCCTGGTTGTGGTTGATGCTCAAATCCACATAAAACTTCCAAATGTAAGATAAATGGATAAGTAGCTGTGTGAGTCAGATTACCAAGGTTGAATCTGATTCCGAAGGCAGCCATGATCCAGTTTTATTCATATCCATTTTCCAAGATGAAAATCTGTTCTTTGATTTGACAAAATCGTGTCCAGATAAAATGATCACACATGACAAGATTCACCTTTATTCCAACAAACTTTGAAAACTCTCTCTTTGCATGTGATCAAGCTGCTGTATGTAGATCTCTAGAACACTTGTTCTGAAAGCCATACATTTAATGTAGGCCAAAGTGTCACCAAATAATGCGCTTTGTAACCTTAAGCCTGTCTAATGTGACTTTGCCAGACACAGTTTTCCAATAGCTACACGCCAAAACAACGCAGACATCAGCATAGGTCAGTTGTTTTCAACCAGGGTTCGGTGGAACCCTAGAGTTCCTCCAAAGGTTCCTAGGGGTTCCGTGAACTGTGGCTGGATGATTTCCCATTTGAGGGTGCCTGCATAGTTCTGGTGCTAATGCCACCTGAAAGAGCCAGCATCACAACACCAATGATCTTTTTATCTGTTTCCATAGCTTTGAATTCTGACCACCACTATAAGAGAGATAGTTTTCACACTGACCACCAATGTAAGGGACATTCTTCCCACTGACCACCAATGTAAGGAGCATGCTTCCCACTGACCACCAATGTAAGGGACATTCTTCCCACTGACCACCAATGTAAGGAGCATTCTTCCCACTGACCCCCAATGTGAGGGACATTCTTCCCACTGACCACCAATGTAAGGAGCATTCTTCCCACTGACCCCCAATGTGAGGGACATTCTTCCCACTGACAACCAACGTAAGGGACATTCTTCCCACTGACCGCAAATGTAAGGGACATTCTTCCCACTGACCACCAATGTAAGGGACATTCTTCCCACTGACCCCCAAAGTAAGGGACATTCTTCCCACTGACCGCAAATGTAAAGGGCATTCTTCCCACTTACCACCAATGTAAGGGACATTCTTCCCACTGACCCCCAAAGTAAGGGACATTCTTCCCACTGACTGCAAATGTAAAGGGCATTCTTCCCACTGACCCCCAATGTAAGGGGCATTCTTCCCACTGACCCCCAATGTAAGGGACATTCTTCCCACTGACCACCAATGTAAGGGGCATTCTTCCCACTGACCACCAATGTAAGGGACATTCTTCCCACTGACCACCAATGTAAGGGACATTCTTCCCACTGACCACCACCAATGTAAGGAGCATTCTTCCCACTGACCATCAATGTAAGGGACATTCTTCCCACTGACCACCAATGTAAGGGGTATTCTTCCCACTGATCCCCCAATGTAAGGGGTATTCTTCCCACTGATCACCAATGTAAGGGGCATTTTTCCCACTAATCGTCAATGTAAAGGGCATTCTTCCCACTGATCACCAATGTAAGGGACATTCTTCCCACTGACCACCAATGTAAGGGACATTCTTCCCACTGACCACCAATGTAAGGGACATTCTTCCCACTGATCCCTGATCTTCCCCAATGTAAGGGACATTCTTCCCACTGACCACCAATGTAAGGGACATTCTTCCTACTGACCTCCAATGTAAGGGACATTCTTTCCCACTGTAAGGGACCACCAATGTAAGGGACATTCTTCCCACTGACCACCATGTAAGGGACCACCAATGTAAGGGACATTCTTCCCACTGACCATGTAAGGGACATTCTTCCCACTGACCACCAATGTAAGGGACATTCTTCCCACTGACCACCAATGTAAGGGCATTCTTCCCACTGACCATCAATGTAAGGGGCATTCTTCCCACTGACCACCATGTAAGGGGCATTCTTCCCACTGACCGCCAATGTAAGGAACCATCATGGTCTAAGGGGGGCCACCATGAACTGATTTCAGCAGGGGTTCCTTCAGACCTGCATATTATTTAATGTGTTCTTCTAGTGAGCAAGAGTTCAGAAAGGCTGGTTGAGACGATGATAGTCATATTCTGACCAGAACAACTACAGATGGTGTATAAATGCTGCACATTTGAGTCTGAAATTTAAATTTGATATATTGCTTTCCTTAGAGTGAGCCTACACCAAAATTCAAAGGTCTTCCTGGGAATGGCTGAAAAAAAAAATTAACAGAAGGGCAAATATCCTTACTTTTTCTGGGGAAATGCTGTTCCGGGATCTCTTTAGTAATAGTCTCTTGACCAAAACTACGTATTTGGTCACCTGATATCTGCTGAAGGCAATCCTCCTAATTCAGGCTGATCGCCCCCTTTCAGTATACATCACATAACTAAATGCATAAGTATCCAGAGATGGTTACATGACCAAAACCCTAGGCTATTATTGCATGATCTCTTCTGAAGGGGATAACTATAGTGCCTAGGCTAGTGATGGTCAACATTCTTAATACAGGGGCCTCAAGTGTGGCCCCTGATGTCACTAAAGGGCTGAACATCATATTTAATGAAAGTAATTTTATAGAAAGCTGTCAGACTACAGATATGCAATATGAGATTACCAGAGACTATGGGCATGCTACAAGAGATGGCCAAAGACTGTAGACATGATACTAAAGATGGTACTGTAGACATGGTACAAGAGATGGTCAAAGACTGTGGACATGCTGATGGTCATAGACTGTGGACCTGCTACAAGAGATGGCCAAAGACTGTAGACATGATACTAAAGATGGTCAGAGACTGTAGACATGGTACAAGAGATGGTCAAAGACTGTGGACATGCTACAAGAGATGGTCATAGACTGTGGACCTGCTACAAGAGATGGCCAAAGACTGTAGACATGATACTAAAGATGGTCAGAGACTGTAGACATGGTACAAGAGATGGTCAAAGACTGTGGACATGCTACAAGAGATGGTCATAGACTGTGGACCTGCTACAAGAGATGGCCAAAGACTGTAGACATGATACTAAAGATGGTCAGAGACTGTAGACATGGTACAAGAGATGGTCAAAGACTGTGGACATGCTATAAGAGATGGTCATAGACTGTGAAGATGCTACAAGAGATGGTCAGAGACTGTGAACATGCTACAAAAGATGGTCAGAGACTGTAGACATGGTACAAGAGATGGTCATAGACTGTGGAGATGCTACAAGAGATGGTCATAGACTGTGGACCTGCTACAAGAGATGGCCAAAGACTGTAGACATGATACTAAAGATGGTCAGAGACTGTAGACATGGTACAAGAGATGGTCAAAGACTGTGGACATGCTACAAGAGATGGTCATAGACTGTGAAGATGCTACAAGAGATGGTCAGTGACTGTGAACATGCTACAAAAGATGGTCAGAGACTGTAGACATGGTACAAGAGATGGTCATAGACTGTGGAGATGCTACAAGAGATGGTCAGAGACTGCAGACATGCTACAAGAGATTTTCAGAGACTGTGGACATGCTGCAAGAAATAGACAGAGACTGTAGACATGGTACAAGAGATGGTCATAGACTGTGGAGATGCTACAAGAGATGGCCAAAGACTGTAGACATGATACTAAAGATGGTCAGAGACTGTAGACATGGTACAAGAGATGGTCATAGACTGTGGACACGTTGATTAGTGGGTTGATTATTGGTTTGATTTATTAAAGGAAAAATAGGCTGCTTACTTTGCATCAGAATTTTCCCTTTAACCACTTAGAAAGTTGTGAAAATTCACTTTGCAAAAAAAACACCCAATCACACGCAAGGAAAATTAAAAAAAAAAAATGATTTTTGCTTGGATGATGGAAGTCAATTAAGTTTCATCTCATTCACTAAGCTAGGGAAAAATGTCCATGGAAAGTAAACAGACTATTTGCCTCCTAGATTGTAAGCTCCAAGGATCCTAACCCTCTTGTATTGATCTGTATTGTTTCTCTATTGTCTTCTATTATATTGTAAAGCACTGAGCAAACTGTTGGTGTAATGACAGTAATAATAATAATTTATTAAATCAACCCCACCACCTCTGCTGGAAGACTGTTTCGAGCATCAATTACCCTACTGTAAAATAATTAATTCTAAGTTTAATTTTGAACTTTCCTCCTGCTAGTTTCAGGTCATGCCGCCTGCATCCTTGATCTATTTACAATCTAAAACCCACCATACGCTTTAAAAAAAAAAAAAAAAAAAAAATCTAAATATATCATAATTTATGAGTAATACAAAAATGATAAAATATAAAAGTGCACACTTTTTGTAAAAAATAAGCAATAATTATGAAAATTATACTTGCTCAAAGAAATCAGCAATTTTTGGCGTATTCAATAATATTTATATACATTTTATTTTATTATATATTTTCTATATTTTTTTGATATTTTTTGCACACAAAGAAAATCAAAAGTAAAAAAAAAAAAAATCTAAATATATATCTTATGAATCATACAAAAATGATAAAAATATAAAACTGCACACTTTTTTAAAAAAAAATAAGCAATGATTATGAAAATTATACTTGCTCAAATAAAATCAGCAATTTTTGGCTTATTAAATAATATTTATATACATTTTATTTTATTATATATTTTATATATTTTTTTAGATATTTTTTGCACACAAAAAAAATCAAAAGTAAAAATAAAAAAAAAATATCTAAATATATCATATTTTATGAATAATGCTAAAATGATAAAATATAAACTGCACACTTTTTAAAAAAAAATAAGCAATAATTCAGAAAATTATACTTGCTCAAATCAGCAATTTTTGGCTTATTAAATAATATTTATATACATATTATTATATATATTTTATATATTTTTTTTGATATTTTTTTGCACAAAAAAAAAAAAAAAAAAGTAAAAATTAAAAAAAAAAAATCTAAATATATATTTTATGAATAATACAAAAATGATAAAATATAAAACTGCACACTTTTTTTTGTAAAAATAATAAGCAATAATTCTGAAAATTATACTTGCTCAAATAAATCAGCAATTTTTGGCTTATTAAATAATATTTATATACATTTTATTTTATTATATATTTTATATATTTTTTTAGATATTTTTTGCACACAAAAAAAATCAAAAGTAAAAATTTAAAAAAAAAATCTAAATATATCATATTTTATGAATAATACAAAAATGATAAAATATAAAACTGCACACTTTTTTTTTTAAAAATAAGCAATAATTATATGAAAATTATACTTGCTCAAATAAATCAGCAATTTTTGGCTTATTAAATAATATTTATATACATTTTATTTTATTATATATTTTATATATTTTTTTTTAGATATTTTTTGCACACAAAGAAAATCAAGAGTAAAAAAAAAAAAAAAATATCTAAATATATCATATTTTATGAATAATGCTAAAATGATAAAATATAAACTGCACACTTTTTAAAAAAAAATAAGCAATAATTCAGAAAATTATACTTGCTCAAATCAGCAATTTTTGGCTTATTAAATAATATTTATATACATTTTATTATATATTTTTTAGATATTTTTTGCACACAAAAAAAATCAAAAGTAAAAAAAAAAAAAAAAAAATCTAAATATATCATATTTTATGAATAATACAAAAATGATAAAATATAAAACTGCACACTTTTTTTTGTAAAAAAAAAATAAAGAAAATTAATCAAATAAATCAGCAATTTTCTTATTAAATAAAATTATACTTGCTCAAAGAAAAAAGTAAAAAAAAAAAAAAAATCAGCAATTTTTGGCATATTAAATAAAAATTATATCAAATACAATTTTTTTATTTATTATTATATATTTTAGATATTTTTTAGATATTTTTTGCACACAAAAAAAATCAAAAGTAAAAATTAAAAAAAAAAAAATCTAAAATATATCATATTTTATGAATAATACAAAAATGATAAAATATAAAAACTGCACACTTTTTAAAAAAATAAGCAATAATTCTGAAAATTATACTTGCTCAAAGAAATCAGCATTTTGGCATTTTATTAATAATATTTTTTAGATATTTCAAAAGTAAAAATTTAAAAAAAAAATCTAAATATATATTATTTTATATATATATTTAATATAAATACACACTTTTTTTTTTTATTTTATATCAAAAAAAAGCATTTTTATAAGTATTTTTTATTTTATTTTATATTTTTTATATTTATTTATATTAAATACTGTTTCATAGTGATCTGTTATTTTTGTGCATGGATAAGACGCATTTTTTAAAATAAAATAATCAAATTGATTAAACAATAATTATTCGCATGAGTTTGTTCATTCAGTAAGCTGCATTATGACCTTTATTCGGTTACAGGAGGTTCAATAGGCTGCATACATTTCCAGCATGGCACAGTTAGATCGCTGTTCCGGCTTATTACATTCCCTGTAGCTCAGCTGATAGGGTTCAATTTTTTTGCATTTAGCGATCAATTGCCGGCAAGCCTAGATTTGAAAAAAGGCAGCGTAGTCTACAACGGCAACAATTTAGAGGAAGCCAATTTCTGTCTCTCTCGCTACATTAAAATGGTTGCCTTTGGGGGGAAAAAAAAAAAAAAAAAAAGCAATGTAGAATGCAAAATTATTAATTATTTATAATTATTATTCTATTATTACTAATAATAAGACATTATTGCTTATAATTATAAAAAATTTTTAAAATTTTATTTATTTATATAAAATTATTTAGAGCAAAATAGTAATTTGGTATAAAAAAAAAAAAAAAAAAAAAAAAATTGTGATACCTGCTCACTTTACAGATCGCACAATCCGAGCACTATTTTTTTTTTGGTTTTAGTTTTTAATTACCAACTATGTACAAAGTTTACCTTTACCATGAAATAGGGACGAG